TGCCAAATGATAATTTTCTAATTCCATCGTTATTCCTTATACATTTTTTATTTTTCTTCTTATATGGGAGAGCTTCTTGCTTCTCCCATATTTATTCATTTATCAATTTATTGATTTATATTAGAATGAGCTCATCAATTTTTATTTTGTTCTATGAATTATATAATCACTATAAAAATACTTTCAGATTTGGCTGGGTTCTGTGTTCTTTTATCATCTCATCATCATTTTTTAAGCATTTTACTTAGTTTCTGGCACTAAATCCGGGGATCACTTTGTGCTTTCCCAGAGCCTAGAATCACCCATTTCCTCTCACAGTTCTAGTTCCATTTAGCAGAGGATGGTATTTAAAAATCAAAACCTAGTAGTAGGTGTTCTCATTTCCACTATAGTGCCATCACGTCTAAACTCTTTCAATGAGTAAAACAAGGAAGCGTGCACACACGCATACACACACCCCTCACTTTTACTTGAATATCACTTTTACTTTAAAGAAAAATAGACTATGGTTATTCAGATATGGGAATTTGGCAGACATTTTCTGGAAAGTAAAGATAAAGTATGCCTGTCACTTCGAGGAAAAGAACTAATAGTACTTGTTACCAATGATAAAATGCAAGCTTTCAAGTAAAAATTAGAATTTTGGAAATCTTATATTCACCACCATGAACTCAACAGCTTCCGAAACTTTTCTGAAGACATGGGTGGTGATATTAACAAATGTTGTGGAGTGTTTTTTTTTTTTAATTATTGTATAGTGAAATGTGTCAACATTTGTAGATCTACATAACTCATTGAGCTGGTATTTTTTCAGATGACCAATGCATGATGTTACAAAAACATATATGGATAAAATATCCCATTAAAGTGTACTATAGACCAAAGGATCTTCATGGAGCAAAGTACAAAAAGTTCATTGATAATGGTTTCAGATTCCATATTGCAGCTAATCTTTAAGAAATTGCCACTTGTGAAGTTTTGATGTAGTATCAAAGAAAATATCCACAAGTATCTAATGACAATTAACATACTCCTCACTTTTCTAACTACAGGACAGATTTTCTTCATATACATAAAGTAAAACAACATATCCCAACAGATTGAATGCAGAAGCAGATATAATAACCCAGCTGTCTTCTTGTGGAATAACTTTAAAGAAATTTGCAAAAATGCAAATAATACCATTCTTCTTACTATATTTTTGTTTTGGAAAATACAGTTATCTTTTATTAAGATGAGTTATTTATGTTAAAACATAATAAGTTCACTATTGCTATTTTAAATGAATAATTGCCTTAAATTTTTCTTTAGTTTTAATTTCAAAGATAATAAATATCAATAGATATAATCCACATAAACAAGGAACTCTGGGGTCCTCAATAATTTTTTAAGAGAGTAAACAGGGCCTGTGACCAAATGTTTGAGAGCCATCTCCAGTTTATTCAACCATTCTCCTATGTGAAGATATTGAGGTTGTTTCCAGTATTTTGCATTACAAACAATGTTGCAATGGATAATTTTGTATATGTGTGTTTTTCTAATGTTGCAGATGTATCTTTAGGGTATATTCTTAGAAGTGGGATATCTGAGTCAAAAGATAAATGCAGGGGTGCCTGGGTGGCTCAGTCAGTTGAGTATCTTTTGATTTTGACTTTTGATTTTGGGTCAGGTCATGATCTCACAGTTGTGAGATCCAGCCCTGCATCAGGCTCCATGTGGAGCCTGCTTAAGATTCTCTCTCTCTCCCTCTGCCCTTCTCCCCTGCTCATGCATGCTTTCTCTCTCTCTCAAAAATTAAAAAAAAAAAAACCTTTAAAAAAACCCAAAAGATAAATGCATATGTAGTTCTGTTAGATATCATCAAATTCCCCTTACCAAAGGTTGTGCCTCACTGCTCTCATTGCCTCTATCCCCTACCAACACAAATATTTTCTGTCAAACTGATATAATAAGGGAACAAACACTTTCAAGACTATGTAGTGGAAAAATGTTTGGAACAAGATAGCCATTGATTCACATCCTTAGTAATTACTAGATATGTACAGAAGGACCTGTTTTCTCATCAATAAAATGAAGCTAATGTTTGTTATATATACAAGGAATTGGCACATACTAGGTGCTCATTAATGGTAATGGTTGTTATTATCTGAATCTCTCAGAGCAAGTAGGTGTGGTGGTCAGAGTCAACCAGCACAGATATCCTATATTCATTGAGGATAAAGAATGGACTATACTAATTGGAAATACAGAAGATGCTAACAATAAGAGAGAATATAGAGTTGCCTTGGGAGATACGTAGGGTGCAAGAAGAGAACAGGTCACCAAAACCAGAAAAGAGGCCACAAGTAGATGCTGAAACATAGAACACAAAACCAAGAGTCTGGGCAATGAGAGCAAAGAACAGTTTGTTAATTCAATCAGTTGGTCAACCATTTACTGAACACTACTATTTACCCAGCACTATGTTCTGTGGTAAGCAAGATATTGCCTCTTCCCTTATGGAATTCAGACTCCACTGGTAGAGGCAGATTAGAAAATAGGCGGTTATGATTTTAGAGGGTAAGGATAGTGTGCTATAGGAACACAATTCAGGGACATCTGACCCAAACGTAAGGTTTGGGCAAGACTTTTTAGACGAAATGATACCTAAGCAGAGATCTCAAGAGTGACTAGGACTTAGGTAAGTAAAACTTGGGTGGAGGAGCAGGAGGGGAGTAGATAGGGAAAGAACATGTTCCAGGAAGCAGAAATAGAATGTGGAAAAACCTAGGGGTACCTAGATGGCTCAGTCAGTTGAGTGTCTGACTTTAGCCCAGGTCATGATCTCACAGTCTGTAAGTTCAAGCCCCAGGACCCTCTGAACTATCAGCACCGAGCACAGAGCCTGCTTTGTATTTTGTGTCTTCCTCTCTCTCTCTGCCCCTCCCTCATGCTCTGTCACTCTCTCTCTCAAAAATAAACATTACAAAAATAATAATGTGCAAGAGAAAGCATGATGTGTCTGGAGAATGGAGAAAGCTATTTCAGCTGAGGCAGTGAGGGCAAGCTTGGGAGCAGAGACAGCCAAGACAGGCACCAAATCTGAAAAGGCCTTATAATTCATATCAAGGACTTTATATTTTATCTTATGGGTGATAGGAAGCCATTAGAGCTTTAAGCTGGTCTAAAATCTTTGTTTTTAGAAAAGATCACTTTGACTGTTACGTAGAACCTAGAGAACACACATTTGGAGACAAGGAAGCCTTTATAAGTGTCTCTTGCAGTAATCCAGGCAAAAGTAATGGTGACCTGAATTAGGGTAGTATAGGGAGAATGGTGATCTCAGGAGCAAAATCATCCAACTATGACTGGATTGGCATGTGAAAAAGAGGGAGAAATCAAAGGAGACACTTGGGTTTCTGTCTTGGGCAACTTGGTAGTCAGTGCTATCAAAGAGGGAGACAGTAGGGAAGGAGGAACAGGCTTGGAGGAAAAAAAGATAAGTGCTATTTTAACATGTTGACAGATTAGGACACTGAGGTTTAGAGAGGTGAAGTTATTTGTCTAAGGTGATTGTAAGTGGCAGAGCTAAGATTTCAGTGTAGGTCCATCTGACAACAGATTTCCTTATTGCTTCAACACAGCCACACCTCCACCCACACTCAGAATGGGAATGTGCACCAACCATCAGGGAGGGGAAAACCACTGCAAGCATTTGTAATGTGAGTCCAGTGCTTCCATATACATAAGAGTGTATTTGCATGAGCATAAACATTATTATTAACACTGTTCATAGTGACTCACACTGCCATCCTCTGGTTCCAGAAGGAAAGTATTAGGAAACACTTGACTTTGAGGAATAATTATGACATATTTTTCATAAGAATTACATATAAGGCAGCATGGCATTTATGGTTACAATACAAAGACCCTGGGTTAGAGACCAGACACCTGGGTTCTAATAATATAAATAATCTACTAGACTGAGGAGGAAAGTTGTTATTTAGGCATTTGAAAATATGGGCCTTTCCTTAGGGTGTCCAGTTCAGTTAGGGTTCCTTTAGCTCACCAGCTTATTCCACACTAGAGAGATGGTGCAGTACGATGGAAAGAGCTCCCACTTTGAAATTAAGTGATATGAGTTGAATTCACAGCTCCACCAATGTCAGGCTATTCGAAGAAAGACACTCATTCTTTCTAAGTCTTATTTTTCTCATTTGTATGGTACATGATTTTATGTGTTATCAAGAAAGTGCCAGGTATATGGTAGGCACTCAAAGTTAATTATCTTCCCTTGCCCTTTCTCATCTTTTCAACCTCAAACGTTGTTTCCTATCTATATCTCTAAAACTCTAAAAAAGAATGAACAGCTTCTTTATACCCTTCCCCATTCTTTCCAATGTACATATATTCTCTCATAATCAGAAAAACAAGTATAAAAAAATATTTGGGGGCACACACAGACCAGCCCATATAGTCAGCATGCATTACAACCCGATGACTCACAGGTATATTTTATTTGGACATGCTGTACCCCAATTGTGCATATGAGGAAATAACTGAATATATGTGTACATTCTTGTATGAATTCACCTGAATTCTACAAACACTGAGCTCCAGCTATGATACAGATGCTGTAAGAATACACAGTTGAAAAAAACCTGTTTTTATCTTCATTTTGAAAGTATTTATATGTATGTGTGTCTGTGTTTTGGCTTTAGAAAGGAAGGATTGGATTCATAAAATTGAAGAGTATGTAAGCTGAAAACAGTGATGGGCTGGGGCCAGCATGTATTGGATCATGAGAGCAAGTTATTAAATTTTAAGAAACTTTGTGAGCCAATTGTTAAACACAGCAGTTTTTAAAACTAAATTATATAAAAGTATAATTAAACACATTATATTAAAAACAGAGTTAAATACAAGCAGCCATTGCTTTGCACAATTCTGAAAACTGCACAGATTAGTGTAATAATATCCCCCAATAACACAATTCAAGTTTCTTTCTTTTTTTTTTTTAGGTTTTATTTTTAAGTAATCCCTACACCCAGCCTGGGGTTCAAACTGACACCTGCAAGATCAAGAGTTGCATGGTTCACAGACTGAGCCAGCCACGCGCCCCCAAGTTTCATTTATCATATTAACTGTAAGTAATGGCATTAAGTACAAATTTTGCTGCTATCTCTTCAGTCCATGAATATCATGTTCAGTGACCAATCACATCACTTCTTTCTTTCCTTATTTTTTTTCCTTCTTTTTTTCTGTAAGCTGTGCACCCAACGTGGGGCTTGAACTTACAACACAGGAATTGGGTGTCAGATGCTCTACCAGCTGAGCCAGCCAGGCCCCCATCAATCACTTCTTTCAAGTTTGTCAGTGATTAGTATCTTTTTTTAAATTTTCATACAGACAATAAACTGTATATTGTGTTGCCTCTTTTTCTACCAATGATAAAACCCACATGACATTTTATAGGAATGAAAAAACAAACAAGGGAATTGGGGGGGAGGAGATCAAATGAAGCAAAGAAACAAAAAGTGAGGGGCACCTGTCTGGCTCAGTCAGAGGAATGTGCAACTCTTGCTCTTGGGGTCATGAGTTCAAACTCCATGTTAAGTGTGGAGATTATATAAACAAACAAACAAACTTTAAAAAAAAGAAACCAAAAAGAGATAAGGCTGGAAGTGAAACTTTAATTGGATGTAAATGGAATTATAGAAAAAAAGGTTAAGTATGGGAATATTGACACACCCTCCGTTTGAAAGACTTTACATATGTAGCCAGAGGAACTTAGTAAAGGCAAACTTATTGATATAATTGAGGAAAATGGTTGTGACCAAAAGGATGAATGTTTTTCACATTAAAATTATTGGAGATACTGCACAATGTTGAAAGTACAAGGAATACAATGTTGAAAGCTGATCCAAATTTAGAAAGAAGTAGGAGCATATTCCAAACATGGAAAAGCTGGTCAGTCATATTGGAAATTATACCATAAGAAGGCAAGCAATGTTCAAATTACTGTTGATAAATTTTTTACTAAGAAATAAAACACTTTAACTCTCAGCATGTTGAGTATTTTAAGTTATAATGTGCTATAACCACTCAATGGGGAAAGAATCGTCATTTTAACAAGTGGTGCCAAGACCATTGGTTATCTACATGCAGAAGAATGAATTTGGACCCCTACCTCACACCATATAAAAAAAAATGAACTCAAAATGAATCAAAGGCCTATATGTAAAAGCTAAAACTATAAACTCTTAGGACACACTGATATAAATGTTTGTGACTTCGGATTAGGTAGTAATTTCTTAGATAGGGCACCAAAAATTCAAGTAATCAAAGAAAAGATATAAATTGGACTTCCTCAAAATTTAAAACTTTGTAAAATTGGCCATGGTGAGAACATTTATACCACAGAAATTGGCAAGGCTGCTTGTTGGGGTTTGTTTTGCTAATCGTCTAGATTCTGTGTCTCCCTCTCTCTCTCTACCCCTCCCCCACTTGTGCTCTCCTTCACTTTCAAAAAATAAATGAATATTTAAAAAATAATAGTAACTTATGTTAGCTACTAATTATTACAGTTATTAAGTGCTGGCTAGTGTGTAAGAACTTGACCAATTTATTTAATCCTGACAAGAATCCAATGAAGTGGGCATTATTATTTTCAGAATAAAAAACTAAAACTTAGAGAGGTTAAATAATTATTAAATGGATCAGTTACCAAATATAACACAGCCTTAAACCTCGATCTAGCTGCTATCACAGTCCATGGTGTCAGCCATTGTACTATAAAGCCTTCCTTGAGGGAATATGTTTAAAAGGTCTTTGTACACAGGAGGCTGTGAATATTGGCTATTAACCATTGTTATCATTTCCTCCTTCCTTGGACATAATGCTCTGATTATACAGAGAAATTTACCATTCTCAAAGACATTTTAAATATTTATTTATTAAAGTTTAATTACTTAAGTAATCTCTACACCCAATGTGGAGCTTGAACTCATGACCCTGATCAAAAGTCACATGCTCTTCTGACTGAACCAGCCAGGCACCCCTCCCAAAGGCACATTTACAGTTTTTGTACCTTCATTCATATTGTTTTCTTTGCCTGAAGTGCTCTTATTCCCCTCTCAAAATTATACTCCTTTCATGAGACCCAGGTAGGAAATCGCCTACTTTTTTTTTTTAATTTTTATTTATTTTTGACAGAGATACAGAGTGCAAATTGGGGAGGAAGAGAGAGAGAGGAGACACAGAATCCGAAGCAGGCTTCAGGCTCTGAGCTGTCAGCACAAACCCTGACGTAGGGCCCAAACTGACAGACTGTGAGATCATCACCTGAGCCAAAGTCAGACACTTCACCAACTGAGCCACCCGGGTGCCCCAAATCACCTACTCTGCGAAGTCTTCCCTAATACACTGGCATATCCCTCATCCCCTCAACTCTAGGCATTAACACTTCTCCATCTTTGTCTCCTTGGCCCTTTCCACTTGGTAAATATTCAGTAAGTAATTGTTGAACCCATTAATCTCCAATCATTTATTATAAACTCAGTGAAACCAATCAAGGGAGTTTTCTTTCTAATGGATCTTCAAGTGTGCTAGAGAAAAATCTAACGTGATTGTTGGCATTGCTTAGGAGAAAAATAGCAGTGTAATTCAAGCTATGTCCAACACATGGCACAGCAGTCATGGCCAAAGCAGCTAGGGAGTGCTCTTTAGAAAAGAGTAAAGGATAGAGGCAATAACAATTACCAACACTGAGTAATTGCATAATTGTTCACAAAGCTCTCTTATATAAATTATCTACATGAATTTTTATCCCCATTTTACAAATGGGAATGGAAATGAGGGAACTTTTCCAAATCCCAGAATCTTTTGGATCATAATATATAGATCCACCAGGTAAGGTGATTGATTACAACGGTCTTTCAGAGGCCCTGTGATTTTCTTTCCAAATTACTGCTCTCATTCCTTGAAAATATAGGAAATGTCACTTTAGGAGCTTCAACTCTTTGGCTGAGGCTTTAAATTGCAAATATTTAAATGGAGGAGAGGGGAAGGGGAATATATGAAATATTTTAATTCATTTGTACACTAGTGTAAAAAGTTTCAAATATATTCTTGAGAGCCACTTACTTGACCTAAGTGGATTGGATGGATGCATTGGGAGTGCATAGGAAATAGGTATCTGAAGAAGAGACTCAAAGATGAGACAGTAAGTGGCAGCAAGAAGGAGAACTGTGGGAAGTTTCACTAACTTAACAATTTTGTCATGGACCAACTTTCTTCCCCTTACTGTAATCATTGTTAGAGAACTCCATTCATCAAGGAGTTTGTTATCTCAGGAATATGAGAGCATGATTCAGACAGTATATATTCAAGTAGTAATGCCTGGGAAATTCTCAAGAAACCTTTCTCAGCATCCACTAGATAGAAACTAGAAAATGGAGACTCAAATCTAGGGTTATAAGAATGAAATCTGGAGTAAAATAGTAAAATCTGCCATTCCAAGTTTGGCACCTGTAATTTAGTGTTAAGATCTCAGACTCTGATAGAACTTTGAGGTCAAAAATAAAATATAAAAGTCACAGATCAGAACTTGGTATTCTAAATATATATCTTGGGTTGCCATTATTGAAATTCCTAAAGTAGAATTTCTGCTTGGGGATTAGGAATCTAATTATAGGATTCAAGTTCAAAGAGTAGATCCTATACTTTCAGTAGTAGAATTTTGAGTTCCAAGGAACAGCTGAGTTCTATTGGTAGACTGCTCAGGTTCAGAAAATAGAACCTGAAGTTTCAGTAGTAGATACTGGAATTTAGTATTCAAATCTCAAGCTCTGAATTTGGAGCCTGAAATTTTAATAGTGGAATGTCAGGTTATGAGAGTAAAATCTAGAGGTTCAACAATAGAATTTCAGTGTTGGGGCGCCTGGGTGGCTCAGTCGGTTGGGCGTCCGACTTCAGCTCAGGTCATGATCTCATGGTTCGTGGGTTCGAGCCCCGCATATGGCTCTGTGCTGACAGCTAGCTCAGAGCCTGGAGCCTGCTTCAGATTCTGTGTCTCCTTTTCTCTCTGACCCTCCCCTGCTCACACTATCTCTCTCTCTCAGAAATAAATAAAAACATTTAAAAATTTTTTTTAAAAAAATAGAATTTCAGTGTCAGAGAAAGAACATAGAATTTCTGAACTAAAACCTGGAGTTCCAAGATTAGAACATGGGATTATATTATTAGAATCTTTGATTTTGAGATTGGAACTCTAAGTTCTAATAATACAGTACTGAAGTTTGAAGGCTTAGCCTAAAATACAAGTATAAAGTATGAGATTCAGATAGCACATCTTGAGTTTCAGGAGAGAATCCTGAGGTGCCATAATGGAACCTTGAGGTGCAATATTAAATTATGGAATTTTTAAATTGGAATCTAGTTCATTAGATTACTATTAGACTCAGGCTTCAACAGTGATAATGCTAATGACTGTCTGCTTACTATGTGCCAATGTTCTAAGAGCTTTGCATGTATTATTATTACATTTAATGCTCACAAAAATTCTATTATTATTATTCCTATTTTACAAATAAGAAACTGAAGCACAGAGGTTAAATAACTTTCCAAAGGTCACACACCTGGGAAGCACAGAGATCATATCTGACCATAAGCTATGTACCTGTATAGCTCATGCCTCTAACCACTATCATAAGTATCTCTAGATACTAGAGTCTAGAACTTTGAATTCCATTAGTAAAACTTGAGGTTTAATAAATAGAACCTAGAGTTACCGTAATAGAAACTATAGTTCCTGGGTGCCTGGGTGGCTCAGTCAGTTGAGAATCTAACTCAGATCGTGATTTTGCAGTTCATGGGTTCAGGCCCCACATCAGGCTCACTTCTGTCAGCATGGACCCTGCTTCAGATCCTCTGTCCCCTTCTCTCTCTGCCCCTCCCCAGCTCATGAGCTCTCTCACTCTCAAAAGTAAACATTAAAAAAAAAAAAGAAACTATAGTTCTAGTAGCAGCAACTTGAATAATCTTTATGTCCAA